CTCTCTCTCTCTCTCCTATATATATATACACATATACACACACACACACACACACACATATATATATATATATATATATATATATATATATATTATTAGTGGAAAAAAGTTTTAAAAACATAAATTCATCAGCGTCCATGATTTGGTTTGTGCACATGTGTAGTTGCATCAACATAAATGGCAATTTTGTCTGATGAAGTCCTTAAGGTGGAAACGTGTTACAATTTTTTTCCATTTTGTCATACATTTTTCCTCTAATATTCATCTTGTTCTTTTCTCATTCGTCTATCCACACACATATATATATATATATATATATATATATATATATATATATATATATATATATATATATATATATATATATATATATATATATATATATATATATATATATATATATATATATATATATATATATATATAGGGTTGGGACTCTCATAACCTAAAAACGCTATTCTTAAAAGAATGCCCACGACCAAGTAGACCAAATTATATATATTCAAAATTATAACATATGCATGTGTATAATCTCTCTACAAAATTGCAATTTTGTTTCAGCACTTCCGTTATCTTATCGAATGATGGTTTTGATTGCCTAAATAAAGAGCTTTTCCTTTATTTTCAATCAACAGCATCACTTGATAAAACACCAGAATTGTTGAAACAAAATTGCTGTTTTTTGTAGTGATGTTATTACATGCATATGTTACAATTTACAGAATAAATATATATGTGTGTGTGTGTGAGCGTGTGTGTGTAAATGTGTATGTGTGTGTGTTTTACCCGATAATTATATTTTCTTGTCCTTTTATAGCTGCTACCATTGTAAGAATGTAATTAAATATAACAAGATTTTTAAAAGCGAGCTGTTAAATCTATTTTCCTGTATAGCGTAAGTAACATTTCATTTCTAAAATGAAAAAGAATAGCATCAGTCCTACAAGCAGCTGAGATAACTTTACTTATGTCCATGAGATTATAAAATGAAATAACAAACACCTGTCAAATTTAAAAAGACATACTCTCGTCCCACCCCGAACACACAAATAGCACGTGTTTAAAAAATATATATCCTGTTTATCATGCAAATTTCTTTGGTGCAATTGCATATTTGTGGTAACGAGCTTCACCGGCAAGACATTTGAAATAAAATCTTTTGAATAAAATAAGCTATTCTTTAAATATAAATAAGAAGTTAAAAAAAGAAAGAAAAGTTGCACTTACTTTTCTATACATATAAGCTAGCAAAACAATTTCAGGTAAGTCTCTAGGTGACAGTAACGCAAAAGATCCATCCATAGTCCTTTATCAGGTAAAACTCGTTACCACTAACTTAGGAAAAAAAATCTTTAAGGAAAAAAATAATAAATAAAACGTTAAAAAAAGATTTTAAAAAAAGAAAAAAAAATCTTCCCAGTTCAAGCGTTGAAAAAGTACTTGTAAAATCCAGAATTCTCACGTAATAAAATAACAATAAATGAAAAAGATGTTGTAATGGAACGCTCATGACAAGTTGATATTCGAGTATATTTTATGACTTTTTTTTTATAAAGTTTGACCAACTATGATCTTCTCTAGTTCCATCACACAACGGCAAAGAAGGGAACGTGTGCCTAGTCTCACCTATCTGATAAATCCACGTACCTATCCGTGTCTACTAACTACAGACTTGCTTCGATCGTATGTGTTCCTCACTCAGTGTGTGTGTGACTCAAATGAATGTGTATTTATATTTCATTGACATGCAACTCATTTGATTTCCTTTTCTTTCACTTTCTCTCTCTCTCGCGATTTCTCTCCCTCTCTCTCTGAATTTTCTATTTCTTCTCTTGCATCGAAATTTCAGTTTTCTTTCATACATTCCTAAATGCGTAAAAGTGATAATATATCTATATATGTAAAAAAAAATCTCACGCTATTTCTCCCTTTTCGTCACTCACTCTTTAAAAATATATAAACAGTTCCCTCTCTCTAACTTTATTTGTTCACGACTATCCTTTCCTTCACACGATTTTATGTTAAGTCATCTTCTTTTAACTCGCTTTGTTTTTCCGCTCTCTCTCTCTCTCTCTCTCTCTCTCTCTCTCTCTCTCTCTCTCTCTCACTCTCACTCTCACTCTTGACGGGAGGGCGGGAATATAAAAACAGAAAAAAGAAGGAAAAAAGAAAAAGCAACAAAAATATATAGAGGTAGGGGGAGGTAATAGACTGAGTGGGGGCGCCCTCTTACGAGAAGAGTGACGTCTCTTCAAGCACACAGACCGCCCCCTGACGCATGCGCGCTGCACGCCGGCTGTCATTACGGCGGCGGCCGAGGAGGCACTAGCTACCATGTCAAACGGTTTTAGCCAATGAGCGGGCTCGTTAGCCCCGCCTCTTGGCTGCGCCTCCCGCTGCGACTCTAACAAGCGCAGTGTTTGGCCGCTGTGATAGAACACTTTCGCTCCCTCTAGCTGCCTCCGACTTTTGTTTGAGATTTAGACCAACTGGTGCGCCCATGACAGAGACTTCATCAGTTAATATTATGGACCACTCTTTAACCAAAGGCAGTTCGGCGCTAAGGTTAGTCGACGTTTCGTCCGCCCATGTGCCTCAACACTTAAACGGTGTCCATGGCTTAACGCTACCACCTACAACACACAAGCACTACGCAAGCGGCCAAAGGAAAATGTTGAATCCATTCATGGATACTTCTCATGGCCCCCACATCCCACCGGGCGCCCTTAAACTAAGTCCACCACACCCCATGAGCGACACAGCAAATTCAGTGCACGGCCAACCAAACCACCAATTTGCCGCTCAGCCAAATGGATATGGAGTTCCACATTCGCATTCACATCATGTCGGATCGTACGCAGCCAGGGACTTTCTCCTACGACGCGATCACATGGGGCTGCCTACTCATGATACTAATGCTACATCTCACCACGGGATGTTTGTACCATCGTCGGGGGGCCTTCACGGGCCACACCACCCGGACACTTCATCTAGTCATGTGCTGTTCCCGGGTTTGCACGAACCGGCTCATCACCACCCGAGTGCCGGTCACCATGTCAATAGTCAAATGAGACTTAGTATTACCGGACCAGATATGTACTCCCGGGCTGACCAATTCAACCAGATGACCAGTCCCCGGACTGATCATTTTGCAGCGTCACAGCACCTCAACATGGGACCGATGAACGCAATGAATCATATGAACATGGGACCTCACGCGCCGGGCGCTTTTTTTCGCTATATGCGCCATCCGATCAAACAGGAACACACATGCCTGTGGGTCGATGGTGACCAACCTGAGCCTAAAAAATCGTGCAACAAAACCTTTCCGTCAATGCACGAAATTGTGGCACACATCACCGTCGAGCATGTGGGGGGCCCCGAGCAGACAAACCATTCTTGTTATTGGCAGAACTGTACAAGGGATGGGAGGCCGTTCAAGGCCAAATATAAGTTAGTTAATCACATACGAGTGCATACTGGAGAAAAGCCTTTTCCATGTCCTTTCCCTGGTTGTGGAAAGGTATTTGCACGCAGTGAAAACTTAAAGATACATAAAAGAACGCATACAGGTTTGTATTGGATTCTATATATAAACATCAATGTTTTATTAGTCATTTATTCACTTAAAATTATCCGTATTTGTTTATTGTTTATATATGTCTAAGTTGTCGACTTTGTTTACCTTTGTTGATTTCTAAAAAAGATCATACCTCCACATTTACACATATGATTATATATATATATATATATATATTGTTGTTGTTCTTGTTGTTCACATATCTACTAATGTTTTTTGCGACATCAACATGTATGTGACTATCTGTGTGCATATCCGTATCTATTTATTTACAAATATAAGTCCTTTGTTGCTATTACGTCCTCGATTTGTCAATTCTTCTGACTATTCTGTACCTGAAATCCGATTGACTGAATTTGCATGGACTTAAATTCAAAATCTCAACATTGTTTACAGACAATAATAGTAGGTCATCTTTTTTTTTCATTACTTGTATCTGATCTATACGTTAATGACCCCACACTCATCGAAAACATTTAACTGTTTGTTGTTATTTCTGGTGTTTATTATTATTATTATTATTATTATTATTATTATTATTCTCGGTGATGGGGTTACTAAACAATATTACTATATGTTTTTTTAACGAAGAAAATGAACTATTTTTCAATAGATGTAAATTCCGATCCATACCGTTATTTTATTTTTTTTATTTTGTCTTGTTCGCTTTTTATATCACGCGAACCACTTGAAAAATATGCACTCTTCATTTATGGGAAGAAGTTAAAAAGTTTTGCAATTTTCTTCGAAAATTCCTTGTGGATGTAGAAGATATAAATTGCATAGAAAGTAGAATATGAATTTTAAAGATTTAAAATTACGTTATTATTGTTGTTGTTAAAGTTTTAAAATTACGTTATTTTTCTCCCTGTTGCACTATCACAAGCATTTTTAGTTGATGGTAATTTAAAAATTATATTGTTGTTTAAAATAATTTGGGATATTTGACAATGTTTTTACGTAAGCGAAGTAAATATTTCAATCGTCTAAGTTCTATTAAGTTTTTTTTTCTTTATCTATGATAAGAAATAAATGTTGATAGTAATATTATCTAAATTCCAACAGAACCGACATGTTTTTTTTAAAATCCATCACTCATATAATAATAATACTAGCATATTGTTCTTGTCATCTAATAAGAACATTTCCAGTCATTAAACTCATAAAAATAATACAAGTACATTAAATTATCTCTTCGTTGATAATAATTCATTATTTTATTATATTTATAAAACCATATTTTACCTATTTTGAGGGCTGTTGCGTCTTCCACAACACCGGATTTTATCAATCTACAACAAAAATGGTGGACATTTTTTTACGTAAACAGCGGTCACATATCAACAAATATTTAAAAACACACACACTTTGACTATTACAAACGGAAGCATTCACGTGAGATAACCAAATTTTAGATGCATTTTTTGAAAGAAATAAAACTAGATAAAAACAGTGATTAAATGCATTTTTAACAACACACGAAATATTAGTTTTTTTTTTTTTTTTTTTTAAGAGTTCGTGTTCTTAGTTTTGTTCGGTTGTTAATCGACTGTTGATTTAGCTTTAAAAAATAAACTGTCACAAATTACGCCTATCCTAATATGGTAGCTATCATTGAATACGTTTTTTTTTTGTTGTTGTTGTCATTTATTTTTAGATAAATGGTTGTCAAAATGAATGCATACATGCCCCTGTGAATAAAGACAGTGAAAAGAAATATCAATTGTGTGGTCATTTTTAACACATGCCTGCACAACAAAAGGCGACCAATTGCTGCAGTTTCGAGTTGCGTTGCTGAATAGACATGATGCTGTTATTATTATAATTATTTAGCACAGTCTATTATTGCTACGATAGGTACACCAGTCAAAACATAAAGCTATCTACATTCATGCAAACAGGACAGTTGTTTTTTTACTTGCAGTAGTAGAAGCAGTCAACCTTGTAAGTGTGAGAAAAAAGTAGACAGGTTTTTACAAAAAACATTAACTTTATTCACAACATTTAATGATCGTATATATATAAATTTCTTTCAATAATCTAGCAAAATATACTTGTTAATCGCACCCTAAATCCTTCAATTATGCATAAACCTTGAATATATAAGCTAAGCATATGTAGTATTCAGTTCTTTTTATGTTCAAATAAACATTACACTACACAGATATTAGAAAAAATCCTTGTTAGGGATAGGGAATTGCAAAAAATCAGAAATAACATTTAGTGTCATTATTTAAAATTAAATTATCATATGTTGACATGGTTAAAGTTTATTAAAAAGAAAAGAAGGTAAAAAAAAATAATGTGCTTAGTAAGAAATAAAAAAAAATATCACTGACCTAGCTATTCGTGTAAGTTCGCACGATTGTCTAATCATTTTATCATTACATTTAAACATTAAGTACGCGATAAATTCGCTGCTCCAAACAATTTGTTCCGATACACAAAAATCGTCTGCCCCCTTCAATTCTTCTTTCACCAACTCACGTACATATTTCATTATCTCCAAGCATTTCATTATTTATTTTTCTCAAAACTAGCTCCTAAAAATATTCTGTTTTCTGTACGAATAGAAATCACTCCCGCATATGTCGGGGATCGGAATAACACTATTTCGAAGAAGATGAAGATGATGTGAACAAATAATGGCGGTTTATAGTGATAAGATCCCTCAGCCAACACCTTTTACCTTTTACACTCTTCTCCTTTTCCCTTATCTCTGTAGCCTTTCGCAACTTCTCAAATGGGTTTAAGTGTTTGTGGCCGTAAAAGTGTCTCTCCCCTCCTAACTTCAGTTTATTCATTCGCCTTTTGTGCTTTTACAGTCCTACTTTCGAATAGAAGAGGAAGAATGTTAGAAATCTTTACTTTTTCTCTCGTATTTCGCAATAATGCACAAAACCCCAAATTTGCAAGGTCCCAAATAAATCATTTACCACACACACACACATTATATATATATATATATATATATATATATATATATATATATATATATATATATATATATATATATATAAACATATGCTTGTGTACCCCACTAAAATAACGTTTAAAGTAATAATCATATCAATTTGTAGAACACGAAGGATTTGTTATTATTTAAAATTTTTGTTATACTGGTGATATTAATGGACGTTTCAACTAAATATATTACAGTCTTTAGCACTTATAAAGTTCACATGGGTTCTACATTTTTTACAAATGGTAGAACTGAGGCAGCCTGTAGAATAAATTAGCAGAAACTTTATGGTAACAAAAACAAAAGTTAAGTTTTACAACGTGAAGAACACACACACACACACACACACACACACACACACATACATACATACATATATATATATATATATATATATATATATATATATATGTTCTGTTTATATTTATATATATATACATATATATATATATAAATTAAGCAGAACACACAGGAAATATCTGTAAAAACATTGGTGGTTCTCCCATACTATCTAATAAAGTAAGCCCAGAAAAAATTATATATATATATGCACATGCGAGATATATGTGATTTCATTTGTGTTGTTTCAGTACTAACGTTCTCGAGAGTTGCAAAATCGCATCATTACTTTAAATAGAAAAAGACTTTTTTTATCTATTTTCAATTGGTGAGCTGTGTATTTCGTAATTATACATATCTAAAGTGATCCAATTTATTTTTCGATTTTACAAACATCTACATTAATTCAACTTCACATCCAGTGAAATGACGAAGAGATGATAATTTTTTTTTCCTCTCTTTCTCGTTTCCCTTCTGTAATCTGAACAAAAGAAACATTTACTACATGACGGTAGAATTCATAGTTCGGTTTTGAAGGTCTTCTTTCTCAAAATAAAAATTAAATGATACTGTTTTTTTTTTGTTTTTTTTTTCATTTGGTCAGATTTTAAATATATATCGGTAACAGTACTTCTTTTATGCATATTCCTTTAAATATGAGGGACAATGAATGTCTTGCAAGCTTTATTTAAATTTTATTTCCCTTTTGTGTCTATAGAAGTTTTATGGGAATTAAGTGCATAGAGAAATTGTTTATTGTTTTGGGTGCTTTCGACTAATATTTAGCTATTTTCAAGGCGATGGTAATTCTCTCTGTAAAAAGGATTTAAATATGTCCTTGTTTGTTTCTTGTGCTCTGTATTTTGAGTAGTGGTAAGTTGAAAATTACTGATTTAATTTTATTGAAGTTTTCGTTTAGTTTACAACCAAAATGCGCTTGGTCTTTTCTTACCTAAGAGCTATTAATGTTGGTCTGTATATATTCAACTTAATTTTAATAATTATTTGGATGATATCGGCTCTCGTTTTTGAAACATGAGAACTCTTATGTAGCGAAGGAATCATATTTTTAAACAAAAGAATATATATATATATATATATATATATATATATATATATCAAACTAAAGAGTTAATGGATTTTTACTACTTCAAACGTTACTTTTAGTGGATACCCGTATTTGAGTGGAACATCTTATTTTCTAAACAGAGTTTATGATAAAGAAAAATTGTCGTCGGGGGGATTCGAACCTGTGTCTTCCTTCGTAGGAAGAAGTGACGTCGACTAAAAATAACGTTTGAAGTAACCTTTAGTTTATTTTGTTTTCATGTATGTTTGGTCCGAAACTTGTTCAGGCGATATTTACAAAGAAGCACTTGATACAAATATTTTCTTTTCGCTTTGCTATTTCTACTTAATTTTTGGTTTGTTGGCCTTGCCCCTATTGCCAAACCCACACATGCGCGCACGCAGGCACACATACACACGCACACACACTCACATACCCCCTGTGGGAAAGAATAAAATAACCGTTGTTTTTGGACATGCTATTACAACAAACAACAATAACCAACGCCACCATTTATATAGTCATTTTTATTTCAAATGAAATTTTTCTCAGGGTTATTTTTCTACAATAGTTCTGATATAAAATTATTTTTATTAATAGTACTGTTCTAGGATCATTTATCTATAAAATAAATATATAGATTTATTAGTACAAATTTTAGATAGGTTTTTTACTTCATGAAAAAAAAACACAACAGATCAAATGTCACGCATGTTCAGCAAACAAGTAACTTTAAAATTATACTTATGAATAATTTTTGTATATTAAAGTCTGTAATTTCAAAATTTATATGGGATCTAACTAGATTCAAATACCTTTACGATATTTAAAATGTAACAATATTTAAAATAAAAGGTCTATAAATATATATATATATATATATATATATATATATATATATATATAAAAATAAAAAAAATAAAAAATAAAAAAAACAAATGAAAACTACAGACAAAAGTTCATTTTCTCCAACAAAAGACATTCATTTCTGTAGTTCTGCTAACAGCAAGCAGAAATATTTCTCCTCCTGATGATGGCCATTTCGGTCGAAACTAGTCGAAGAATCTAAATGGAATAATAATAATAAAAAACGAAAGAATATTAATCTACAACCCAGTGTGTCTAATGATTTTAATTTTTTAATTTTTATTTTCTTATTGTTCAAAATATCTATCTATCTATCTATCTATCTATCTATCTATCTATATATATATATATATATATATATATATATATACAATTATTATTATTATTAATCAAAGGATATCAAACACTTAAAATCGAATTCAAGATCTACAAACAAAAATAACATTTTTTTTTTTTGTTTGTAGGTCTTAAAGATTGAGAGTTGTGTTTTTAAAGCTCTCATGAAATAAAAATTATTGCCTATACGATTTTAATTGTTTGATATACTTTAATTAATAATAATTTTACTCTGTCTTTTCACATAGAGCTCTCCCTGGATCTATACCATACTGGAAATCCCACACGGATTACCATATTGTATTATTACCATTATATATAAAGACTTTTCCTTAAACCGACCGAGCGGTTAAATGTTTTCTCGTGTTCTTATATTTTTACTTTTCTGGATATTTAGTATGTATACATTGTCGGATATTTGTATAATTTTATTTTTAATTTTAACTGAAAGTATAGATTTTTTTTTAAATAAGTAAACGTATAAATAAAGTCCTCCTTGATAATATCTAGAGACGAAACCGCTCGGAACAAACAGAACATTCGGATACTTTACGTATTTTATGACCAGAAAAGAAAATCATATATAAGAACACAAGGATAATGACATAAAAAAAAACTTAGTCGATATATTATATCAGTCGTTTTTAACGAAAATTGTATAAAAGAAGGATTACTTCCCAAATGCACAATTATATATATATATATATATATATATATATATATATATATATATATATATGTGTGTGTGTGTGTGTGTGTGTGTGTGTGTGTAGGACGCTACCAAAAAGTAAAATATACATAACAGAAAATATAAAACCCTTAGCGAAAACAAAAGATCAGTAAAATTAGTGATTGTCTTTTTATCCATAAAGACTCGGAACACAATCACTGCAGGTCTTTCTCCTAGACTAGTTGCCAACCAAGGCTATAGAACCCAGTCTAATCTGCAATTTACGCTTAGTCGGGGTCAATATATTTATATATATTTGTAGAGGCGCTATCAAATAGTAAAATTGTCGGATTTTTGCATGCTTTTAGTTTTACTTTTAACTGAAAGTAAACGTAAAAATAAAGTCCTCCTTGATAATGTCTAGAAAAAGTGACGAAAGGAAATAACACTCGTAACAAACAGAACATTTGGATACTTTCTACATATTTTATGACCAGAAAAGAAAATCATATATAATATGAATAAGAATAAATGACATTAAAACTTAATCGATGTATTATATCAGTCGTTTTTAACGAAACTTGTATAAAAGAAGGATTACTTCCCAAATGTATAGATAGAAGATATATGTGTGAGTGTATATATATATATATATATATATATATATATATATATATATATATATATATATGTTCGGCGTACTTTATTCTCTGTGATCCATAACACATTATTTTCTAACAAAAATCACTCTTACTGTAGTAAGTGACAGTTTCAATCAATCTGCTTTTGGGGTGATTGCTCGTTTATATCCAAGTATCTTTATAAACTTTTCTTTTGAAAGGGGATATTCCCAGATAAACCATATAATTCGCAAATTATTTGCTGGAATGAGATTCTATTTAAAATTTAATATTTAAGATTTAATGTGAGTAAACACTCGTGAACATATACGAAATTGACCGTGTGCAAACTCTTTATCGTTAATCATTTTGAAAAGAATTTAGAAATACTAACTAATTATATATATATATATATATATATAGTATTTCTAAATTCTAAATATATATATATATATATATATATATATATCGTTAAATCGGAAGAAGTTTTCTCATCAAAATGCAAAGTTTCTTTTCATTAGGTTTACATAGAAATACATCTAATTTAAGCCTTGATTAAGGGCTCGTTGATATTTTATGAATTCGTGTTTCTTTTTATCAAATATGATTAAAATAGTGTCTATACTCATTTTAATTTAAGCTCAAACGAAAACAAACCTGGTTAATGATGTCAATAGATGTCAATAAATTAAATAACTTTGTCACATTATTTTTTCGTTCTAAATTAAGTAGATGCATTGTTATTAAATCTAATCGTATATACTTTAATACTAAAGTTGAGTATTTTTTGCAAGCAGGTCAAAGAAATTTCTTTCGATAAAAAATCCGGTGAAATTATTTCATCCACTGAGACATTTCCGGAAATATTATCATTCGATTTCTTTTTGCTT